AAAGAAAGAAAAGAAGTGTCCTGGTCTGCACCCGCAGCAGCGGGGGCTCCTGGACTCGGACCGGGTTCATCGTCGTCTTCCGACAGACCATGAATATCCAGGCCAATATCTAGCACGTCTTCCCCTCCGTGGTGGAGGTCCAGATGAAACTGGGAGGCCTCCTCCTCTTCGTTGGCTAACCCCTCCATATACTCCACTTGGTCTGCCCAGCTGGGAGCGGGGACTTCGACCGAGAGCTCCTCCTCGTCAGACTCGGACGGAGCCGGGTTGCTAGACTCGGAGAGGAAAGGGTCCTGGCGCGCGACTGCAGCCTCGCCCAGCACTTTCTCCAACTTAACCCGTCTTTCCAGTGTTGAGCGTCGACGCAGGCAACAAAACGCACACGCTTCGGGCTCCGTCAACGCCCTACGAGCATGGACGATCCCCAAACAGACCGGGCAAGCCTCGTGCTGGTCCTTTTCATGGAGCGAGAAGCCGCACCCCTGGGGACAGGGGCGAACTGAAGACTTCTGCTTCTTCTTGAGTAATTTTGTGCTCATCCCGAACCACAAAATTCACTCCTTCGATATAAAAGAAAAAGGCGTCTCAAAGTTAGCGCTCCGCGGGCAGACACAGTTACCAGTAGGCAGCTGCGGCTAACACCAACAAAAGCTGTTAAACTAAATTCAAGACCCTTCGAGCAAACAATGCTAATTAGCAGCAGCTAATTAGCTAAGTTGGGAGAGGTGTTCTAGCGAGGTGAAGAGCAGTAGAACTGAGGAGTGACTGTGATGCAACAGTATATATATGTGCAGGCGGAGCCTGACATCTGTCGTCATCATGTCACCTGCCTAAAGGCGTGATTAGAGGTGGCTTCAGCCAGGACACGCAGGGGCGTGGTTCCCATACATGATGTTGTACCGAGTGAATTGACTGAAAGGGAACTAATGCGGTCATACTGTTGTGCAATAATTTCACTATAAATATAATGTATTGATTATTATAGTATAGCTCACAATACCAAATCTACTGCCAGTATACAGTGATCATATTAACAACAGTGGGACTGACTCTTCATTTAATCTGCAGACAGGCAGACCTTTTATTCATTAAATGTTGAGTATAAATGTTTGTCTTCACCACACATCAAATTTGGCATAATGATAATTTAATATGTTTATTTTTTAATGAAAAAGAAACATGATTTTCTAATTTTAATGTTCTCTTGATCAATTGGTTGTGGCAGCCATCTAGAATTGAGTTGACAGAAAATATTATTAAATTGTTTGTAATGGAAATAATACTTTTAAGTTTAAGCCAGTAATTCATGACATACTTTAATGACCTAGGTTTTCATGACATGCTGTTTATCAGCAGATAGAATGATTAGTCAGAACAAGATCTGCTAACAACAGTCATTCTTAGATATCACTTGTGTTTATCTTTGTGTTTTCCCTTGACTCAGGATTTCCTTAGGATGAAAGCTTGCTTATTAAGATGACATAATAGTGTTTGTTAAACAGTATACAGGTCCTTCTCAAAAAAATTAGCATAGTGTGACAACGTTCATTATTTTCTGTAATGTACTGATAAACATTAAACTTTCATATATTTTAGATTCATTGCGCACCAACTGAAGTAGTTCAAGCCTTTTCTTGTTTTAATATTGATGATTTTGGTAAAAAAAAGTAAAGAAAAACCAAAAATTCCAATCTCAAAAAATTAGCATAGTGTGACAACGTTCATTATTTTCTGTAAT